TTGGGCTTCAGGGGTCTATTGGTTGATTAAATAAACATTTTGTTTAATCACAGTAACATTTGGTCTTAACGATCTGTGTTGGTGGCTGGGTGACTTTTGTATGTCCCCACCACATTCCACCCTCCACAAGGGAAACATAATTAATAGGTAGCTCATCAAGAACTGTCTGTCAGGGGTGAGACCAACTTGCCCTTACATTTGAATTACCAGAATTCTTTTTTTTTTTTTAATAATAGCAAATAATGAAATGATCAAAAATCTAATATTTGGTAATGATTTATTAAATTTTAAAAATCACCTTAGGTATTAGTAGTAAATAATATAATTCTCATTTAACGACTTTATTTTTCAAATGAAGTATATGACACTCAATTAGATTAGCTGTGTAGCTCTATTTTCATATATGATGTGGTAAGCTTTAGACCAAGATCACATGTGGATTAATTTTAGAAGATATTTTTAGCTTTGCTTTGATGGGTCCTGAGTTTGTGGTTTAAACTGTATAAAGATTAATTCTTAATATGGGCAAATACTTTTGATTTGGAGTAGATTAGAATAGCTGTTAAAACTAAAGTTTTATTAAAGCTTACTAATTTTCAGGATCACTGATAGCAAAGTCATTAATTCTAAGTAAAAGCTAAAATTCTCATAAGTTGCAAGTATTTTATAGAAATCAATTAATTCATGATGACTGTAATTTAATATTTTCAGTTTTTAGTAGTCTCCTTTTTACTCCCTGCTTTTTCAAACGAGGGTGGTGGGCAAACATACCTGTTTATTCCATCAGAATAAGAAATGTAACTGACAAGTAGAATGACTTCAGTTTATATTTAATATATTTTCAGATGACACATAGCCCTAAATAGGATGAAAATTGAATGATGCAAAATAAAATTTAGTAGTGTACTGCATATTTTTAAACAAATCATGGCATTTTGGAGCATTCTCATTTATTTTTCAAATTTTTTTTTGGTTTTGGCGGGGAGGAGCAATCATTTTCTTTAAAAGGATAAATTAGATTTTAGAGAGGGAAGAAGAGACATAGGCTAATTGTGAGTTTGGTACACTGAATACATGAATAAAGTTCCCTTTACTAATGTTTTAATTGTGCTCAGCACAGATTGCATGTAGCTCAGTTCACTTCCTTTAAGGGGCACTTAGCACCTGTGTTTGAATTATGGGCAAGTTTCTTTCTTGATCTTTCGTGAAGAATTTTAATATTTCTCATAAATACCATTTAGGCTATTGGGAATCATGGTGGAAACACACAAGGTTTGTAACAGGAATTAGAATGATCATAATGGCTTTTAACAAAATCACATTCACAGCTAGTAAACTAAAGGCTTATTTCCAACTGGTATAAACAAAGCGTATATTCATGTAAAATGTATGAAGCTTTTCTTGGTCAAAACAATGGAAGTGATTTTGTAAACAGCCACAGCCTTAGCACACTAGCTATTGTAGACACAATAGAGGGTTTAAAGCCTTCACTTAAGAAATCTTTTCTCTAGCTCTAGTAAATGTCTTCTGCCTAATGTCAGAACATAGTTCTGAAAGGGAATTAATAAGTTCATCTCAGTGTTGTGTTTTAGGTTTGTACTAGCACATTTAGAAACTGTAATAATTCAGGCAACTAAAATCATTGGAGCCTTACTATTGCATTATCTTAGTGTCCATACTGTGAACCTAGTGGTTATTTTATAGGTATATTTGAGATTAAGAAGAGATTAGTATTTCCTTGTAATTAAACCACCTCAGATGGGTATTGCACATGATCTTGCGCTCCTTGTAATTAACCCGCCAGAGTAACATTGGGTGAGTTGGTATGTTGCTCTGATGTGATTCCCTTGCCACTATCTGAGTAAAATACACCCTATGGTTAATAATTTTAAATACTATACTTTTAAAAATAATAAAATTAGGTCAAACGTGGATTTCTTTGTTAATTCTACTCCAATAAAATTGAGTATTTACAAAAACCTTTAGTGTAGTTCTTACTGCAGTAAAAATCTAATGACCAGAAAGCCACAAAGCACTATTCTCTAATCATGTAATGCTCCTTAAATTTCATTTACTAAAAGAGTTATGTAAGTATTTTTAAATGAGCATTGTTTTAGTATGAATATTTATATAATTGTGGAGTAATTAGAGCAATTAATTTTAGTGGAAACAAAGTTTGCAATAGAAGCTACAATTCAATAGGGTTTATTTCAGTGGGAACATAAAGTTTGTAATATAAATTATAAAAATGATAGCGGATCTTCTAAAAATCACATTCACAACTAGCAAGTAGAAAGCTTATACATTTCATTTGGTGTAACAAAAATCAGTATATTCATAAATTTTAAAATACATGAAGCTTTTGTTAGTAAACAAAAGCATTTAAAAAGATGTTCCTCTAATTCTAGTAAAGAGATTTTGATATTTATAAATTGTGAAACAGTATACAGGCAGATTTTGGAAGAGGTTGTAATTTGCTCTCTGGAACTTCATATTTGTTTTGTTAGAAAAAATTTAAATATGTGGTTGTCATTTGTTTTGGAAAAAAAATTATAAGTATCCATCATACTATTGAGGTAATATTTTAAATTTGATTTATTCTACCACTCTCTCTCGTCATTTAAAAAATATTCTTTCTCAATTTTCTTTTGTTAAAGAAACAAATGCCAGGAGAGCAGTAGACAGAGGATATGTCCAAGTGCTTTTAACAATTTATGTAGATTGGCACCGCCATGATAACCGGCATAGAAACATGCTCATTCGGAAAGGAATTTTACAGAGTTTAAAAAGTGTTACAAACATCAAGTTGGGAAGAAAAGCATTTATTGATGCCAATGGGATGAAAATTCTGTATAACACTTCACAAGTGAGTTATTTTCTTCTTCTTATCCTGATTATGTACTAATGATATGATTTGGTTGTTAAGAAAACTGAATTAGTGTACAAATACTCAGAAACATATACACATGATAAATGCATTTTTCGAAAATCTTAAAAGTAAAAGACACATGTGAAAATAAAAGTAAAAGACACGTGAAAATCTTAAAAGAGACATGTGAAAATCTTAAAAGTAAAAGACACATGTGAAAATCTTAAAAGTAAAAGACACATGTGAAAATCTTAAAAGAAACATGTGAAAATCTTAAAAGTAAAAGACACATGTGAAAATCTTAAAAGTAAAAGACACATGTGAAAATCTTAAAAGTGAAAGACACACATTATTTCTCACATGTGGCCTCAGGCTGAGTTGGAGGAAATGGTCCGTGCACAGCTCTGCAATGTGAAATTTTCTTCGAAAGGCAAAAGAAAGAAGTAGAAATTCATCCACTTAGCAAGAGGGGATTCCATGAAGCCATGTTTTCTAGGATGTGTAGTTGGCTGTACTCAGTGTTGTATGCTCCTCTCATGAGGTATCTGTGGATCCTTTATAGCCTGTGGAGCAGCTTTGTTGTCTGTGAGTGTTGTGCATGTTTTCCTGCTGGATAGAGGCTTCTTTGAATAGGGAAGGTATAAAAATGAAACCTGGAACTGGGAATGCTAGATCTGCCAGCCATTTTAAGCATAAACATTTTTGACAATATATTTAGTGAGATCTTTTCCAGCATCTGTGTTGACTGTCAGCTATGGGGAATGAGGATGTTGCAATGCAACCCCACCCCCGTTTTTTTAAAAGAAAGCTATAATTATTAGAAAGAAAGCTGTCTTTTTGAAAATATCAGTCAGTTATATTGATTGTGCCCTCCTGGTCTTACACATGACAAACACAACCTATTTTTATATGACAAGAGTTAAGATATCTGAACACATATTTTATGTTTACCTTAGTTTTTTCTTTTCTAGGTCAATCATATGCACTTGTTTTTACTATTCCTAGTATAGACATTGATGGATATTTTATATATGAGGAAGAGTTAGGTGACTTGGTTTATGGCACTTAACATTTCTGATCTTAATTTCTCATTTGTTTTGACAGATCAGATGCGAAAATGTATATGGAAACTTTTACAGTGTATCAGAGTACCATCTAAATGTCAATTGTCACTAATAATACTATTGTTATATGACAGTTTCATATCCCATGTCCCTTAACCCTTCTCCAGATTAGATACCAGGATGGTACTCAGACTCTTAAAACCTTATATTGTGGGCCAGGTGTGGTGGCTCA